GCGAACACCTAGCAAGGCACACGAGGGGGTGATTGGCCAGCAACACGCCCGGCCACCTTTGTCCTCGAGTAGCGATGTTTACACACTGCACCAGGTACGCATTTGAGGCTGAGTCGACCCAAAGGAGGCCCAGGACTGGTTCAAATAATCGTCACCAGTATTGGCCGTGAGCGGGAACCGAACTCGGGTCGCTAGGTTCGTAGCACAGTGCGCTAACCGCTGCACTACCGCTCCACCTGGCACCTGCACAAGAGCTAACTGCACCCATTTAATCGCGAATTTTTCCCAGACATGAAAATATCCAAATCATGTGTCATTAGTAACCCTTTGAAATAATCAATCATTATTTTTTGTAATTTTAATGGCAAAGTAGGTGAAAAAGTGTATTTTATGGTCGGTCACATTGTGACCGGTGGGATAATGTGATGTACATACTGAATTAACATATTTCTCCTATGCAGTCATCCAAATTCTTATAAATCCCAGCCCAGTTATTAACACATTTAAAACTCTGTCACTTGCAGTAGGCTTCAGAGCCAAGTGCACGATTAGTTTGTGCATCACTATTTTGAACCACGATCAGTCAGACCTACTGTCATACAGTATGTCTTGAATCAATTGACCTTCTCCAAAAACATTTCAGTCATTTTGTCTTTTTCCCTTTTTCGTCGACTTTTTTCTTCGAGTCCGTTGTACTGCTTCTCCTCACCCTTTACTGAACTTTCTAGTTTTATTTTATTGCCTTTTTCAGCCGTTTTTCATTCACTCTTGTCTCCTTTTCTTCTGTCCATGGTATATCTTGAAGCACTCACTCAATGTGCAGTGGCGCTTTGCATTTCTCACATGCATAGGTAGTGCGTTTGTCACAATGACAACATCTCTGGAACCGGTGCATCGTGTTCATTGGCCAGTGAGAAGCTTTGCCATATCTTGCCTGATCTTCAACAGTAGCAGCCAGTAGAGATCTCATTCCGTGGCTCAATGGTTTCTTGCCAAACTTTTGCGTAAGAGACTGTGCCACTATCCGTGAGAAGGTGAGCAGGTCGATGGTCCCTCCCATAACGTCTCTGTAAAATAAATGGCTGTTTACGAGTGCACTGTTGAGTGACCATGCAAAGATGGGCCACCACCACTTCTTGGACCTGATCGAGATATGGTATCTTGAAACCTGTAGGTCGTCAAGGTCAACACTACCCATGTGCTCATTGTATCGGTTGATGCATTTTGGTTGTGGGACTTTGTCAAAGGCTCCTTGTTCCATCTCTTGAGAGAGGTCTCACTGTATTTCTCCTCCATGTTTGTTGCCACTGTGACAATGTTATTGTCTTTCCAATGGACCAGCAACTTGTAACCTTGGGTCAGAACCTCAAAGGTTCCCCGGGGTAACTTCATGAAGTCCTTCTGTGGCTTGAATAATGGGGGACATCAAACATACGATTTTGCCTCATCGTTCCGGAACTCCCATATCCTCTTTTTGTCATTTCATCAAGGAGTGCAAGCGAAGTGAAGAGGTTTTCATGAAGGAACTTGCAACCTCGAGGCACCGAGATTGCTCTGCAAGACGGAGAACGACACTGGGTCCCAACCCAGTCTCAGAGAGGAGAGTGTGGGATCCACCATGTGGCTCCATGTCATACATGTAACCACTGGATGAGGCAAGGCTCCATAGCTTGTAACCAAAACGGACTGTCTTACCTCTAATGCATTGCTTACATCCATGCCAGCCATAGTATCGGATCATCCTCTCATCCACTGACAGCCATTCCTGAAATGGCATGGAGAAGATGGGCCTAACCTTAAAAAATGGGTCATCAGTGATCTTTGTGTTGGCAACCACATGAACTGAGGCCATTGTTTCATGAAAACGATTTCTCCACCATTGCATATGAAATGCTTTCATTGTGTACATCACTGTCAAGTAACCGGTACATGTGTATTCTTGGAACAGAGCTGTACCCAGATCTGATAAGGATCCCATAGAATGTAAGAAGCTCATCCATACTCAGATATAGTTGCTTGTTCTTGGTCTGGGTGGTGTAAAGGTTGGACATTTCAATAGTGCTCTATCTTAGGGTGGGTGGGTACCGTAGTAGGAAAACAACCATTGGGTTGGGGAAACTTTGTTTTACACATTCTGCAGCATTTGGGCTGTATACTATGTGTTTTGGAATCACAGCGGTGGCAGGCCTCTTCGATCGTTTGAACATTCAATCTTTATTTCTGACCACCTGCAGCTCTGCCCTTGGCTCTTCTGACTGGACCCTCTGGCGGGTCGAGGCCCTTGGCTCTTTATTATCAACAATGGAGGGGGTGGGGGGTCATCACCACTGAAAACGTTGTTCCTGTCATGATCTGTTTGCATAGGTTCAGCATATGCATTCAACAGCCTGGCTGCCAAATGGCCTGTCTCCCCCTCATAGTCCATATCTGACCCATGGCTATCACAATCACTGAGGACAGCATCTTTCTCATTTTGAGGGATAACTGCAATGTTGCATGCCTTATCTGGGCGGTGATCTAGATCCAACATATCCAGAACTTGACTCAAAGTGAAACTAAAAGAAAGGAAAGTAGAAAGCTAGGTAGAACAAGAACTATGTATGTGTATACCTAGATGCACTGTGTTATCCCGCCGGTCACTATTGTTGCCGTAAACATGTTTACTCATTCTATGACAACACTGAACAAAGTTGAGTAATTAGTAAATACATATATCAATACTAGACACCTTAAAGATGGTGTACCAAAAATCTTTGTCCTATCTTTATGTTAACATACTTTAGTAACATTTTGTTTGGGAGCTTTGATGCAGCCATCCTCTTCTCATGGTGCAACCAGGCAGTCAACAGCTCTGGTCATGTGACAATTTATACTAAACATGTGACACTGCACATATTTCATTGAGACCCTTTATTATTGCCATATTTGCTGCAAATCCATTGATACATCATTCAGTACATTTTTTAGAGCCTTATAACTGAAAACTTTTTTACAGTCACTATTGTGACTGATGAGATTAAATGGGTTAATCGCTCCATCTCCACAGTGTTTACTTACTCCGGGTGCCATTCCATCACAATTCTCACCCACCGGCCATCATTCCTTTGTAACGTGTCCCATCCAAGCCCACTCCTCAAAAACGATGTCCTTACCCTGTCTATGTTCTCTAATGCATGTTTTCCTCATCTGTCTGTCAATATATACCTTTTTTAATCGTGGATGCAGAGAGCAGGCCCCAAATCTCCAAAACACCCAACAGCTTGCAACAAACAACACCGTTGAAGGTGTAATAGAAAATAATAATAGTTAATGTTTATTGAATTGAGCAAGGTTTTAAAGACCTTGGGAAAAGAAGCAAGGGAGGGAATTACAAAACGATCACGGTGCTTACAAAGAAGCCATAAGGGAGGTGGTTGAACACAGTGCCGTATTGATGAGACAAAACCATCGGCCTGGCAAATTGAGTTCTCAACGTGAGTGGAGGAATCAATGAGCGAAGCTCATGGGAACAGTAACCCATGGAAGTAGCGATGGAATAGTGATAAGGAGGCGAATGCCTTCCGGTGAGTGACTGGAGAGAATCATTTGAGTGTTGGATTAAGCAATCAACCTGTTCGCTTTGCAGCAAGGTAATAACTGGGCGCATATGATTTGCAATTCAATACGCGCATTGAGAGCCGTGAGAATGTAGAGTTAAACTTTTTATTTTTCTGAATCGACGTGTTGGAAGAGGTGTTTAAAAGATGTGGGCGTACCCACACTTGACCCCACCACACGCGACCTGTCGATCAACTGTGGAAAATTCGGCGTTCCCATTTGCACTTGCGAGGTAGGCAGGGACAGCGGGACTTCATTGAGAAACTTGCACCATTACTTCAACTGCAGCGCCGGGAGATAAAAGAGTCGCACGAGTGACCTCTGGATTCCAAGCTCGTCCAGTTTCCCAAGCATCACACCGGCTCCCCCGTGTTTCCGAGTTAAAAGGGCTAAACGTGTTAAGCTTATTAAAAGACGTTTATATATGTGCGGTTAACGGTAAATGCAAAAGAAATACTACTTGACAACCCGAGTTGTCAAATAGTATTTAATAATAAATCTATTAACATGCATCATTACGTATATTCTGCTTTAGCATGCAAACCGTGATGCAGCACAGATGATCCGCTACTGCCATCAAGTGGTGGCGGCGTTGGATGTCAGAAAACTATCGGTCTTCGGTGGTGGTGGTAGCCCGAAGCCAGCAATGAAAGTTCCACATTCTCAAAGCAGGGGACAGGCCGCTTATAGGACGACCACTGTCAACGTCCCACAACGTGGTATGTGTACATATGTTTTCGACCCTGGGACAAGTGATGGTATGAGTCTACCCGCTGAAAGTATTTGAACTCCAAATGCCTGTGTCTCGGCCTCGCTGTGCACTGCGAGTAGATAACCTCACATTCAATAAACCTTCAGAGCCTGGGTGAACATCCGACTCCAAACGTATTTAATGAATTGAACGAGGTAAAACTGATGGAAAAACAGCATAAATACAGCATATGTTAATACTTGGTAATATCAATACAATTGATGAACACTACAGCATCATAACATTGTCTTAGATAATATGAAACTCAACAATAGATACTGGATGGACCATGCACCTACATTAGTACTGAATAGCTATACAAGAGAATAAGCTACTGTGTTAAGGGCACATCGTGTGATCTCCATGCTGCAGGCTAAATGTACAGCACTACACATAACACTGAACTGTGGATGAGATATTTCATCATCCTTGCTCTCAAGATCGCAATAAGGTTACATGGGTACAAGTCTGACTCGACTTATTCAATTACAAGTAACATTCACAATAAGGCAAGTGGAAGGCTTCGTTGTTAACTAGGCCGCATATTTATCATAACAATTTAACAGCATTATAAAGGCATTTACAGCATTATAACGGCCATTCTAACATTATAACAGCATTCCCAGTATTAAAAGAACATAAACGAACTTACAGACAATGCTTCTTAAAGTCCCACAATGAACGAATACACCTGTCTTCACGGATACGTTATTTGTGCCTACATTTTGTACTCTGTGTAATGGCTGACACCCTGCCGCGTGGCTGAGAGGGAATCTTAAATCGTCACTTCCTGGTCACGTGACCAAACTCAACGTCCAAACAGGAAACTCCTGTGTACACACACCCCTACTCCTGCAGTGAGGCAGAACAGCATGCAAACGAGTCCAACACTATGAACCACATCCCCTGCAGGCCATATTATATATATTTAAAAAATACTGCATACTGTTGCGATAGTATTCATAACAAAATTAATCAAATAAAGTAAGGATGAAATTGTAAACGCAGAGATCTAGCTTGGTTGTTGCACTTAGCTGCTCCATGGCTGGGTCCCAGTAAATAAGGAAGGTTGGGCAAATGTTGGACGAACGTTGCATGTTTGCTGGGGTGTCACACAGAACTTACCGGCAGCAGCAAAGCCATTAACAATGAAAGCATGGGCGTTCGTGGTCGTGTGGAGGAGAACAAGTGAAGATAGCACTGCAGCACTTTGTCAACAGGAGAGTTGAGCAAATGCCTCCAAATCACGTGCTCATTCTCTTGGCCAGTCCTGAAGGCCATTAAACAACTCAACAGTGGAAAACGTTCGAGTTTAATCGGCCGTTTTACCAGCAGGTCAACGGAATCACCGTGTGAATAAAGAACGGTTCAGAGTATTCGCAAATATTTTATGTTGACGAGGTGGATGAGCTATTTTTCGTGGCTGCACAGGCCCCAAAGTTGAACTCGACAAGCGCTCTACTCGTGGTGTTCGGGGCACATCTCTCACGTGGAACGAGCTCCATGAATCAGTGAAATTACTGTCGCCGCTCATTGGGATTTACAGCATTAACATCGGACGCAAGCCGCGGATTTTTTCAAGGATTAATCTTCTCACAATAGATTTTTGGGACAGAACGGATCAGTAAAATGTGTTCCGTACGTGTTAAATGAATCTTCCACAGGAGAATCGTACAACCGCACAGGTTCATTTCAAAGAAAACGATTCACACAGCTATCGTATAACTAGTCACATGCCAAGCAAAAAAGCATATCTATACTCACAATTTATCTGCTTGTCTAGATTATGCAACTAATGAAATTATTTTTCTCAAACAGAGAATATCCAGACGTATCGTCTAGTTAGTCCACAAGCGAACTGACCAAATGTAACAGTATGCCAGTCACCCTCCCATCCCACCCAGTGTGCACTGCGGTCCGCTAAGCGCATCAATAACAACTTCGCTCTCCTACAGAACAATGTGGCAACTAGGAACATTCCTTCTGTCACCCACCTAACCTGTGAAGGCTCTTGTTTCACATTGCTTGCAGATCCTGGAGCAGCAGTACCAATTCCAGCACAATAGCTGCAACATCTGCATCCTTATCATCATCCTCAATGTGGTGCAGAGACTAAGCGGATGTTTTCACAGGGCCACGAGTTCAAATTTACATGGACCAATGTGGCGACCGCATCTCATGCAGAAAATATCCTGCCATGTGCATTAGTGAGACCCAGAGAAGGCTGATTGGCCGCTTCAGGGAACACTGGAGATGTGTGACGCCATTGCTCACCTCATTAAACCAGTCACTGGACATTTTATACCCACAGGACACAGCCTCGCTGACATGTCCACATGTTAAATTTTTATTTAAAGCTTTCGTGACTGCAGGGATTCATATTCTTGGTTCTTTCGGTTAAGTCACGTAGAAGGGAAACAATAAAATAATAAAAATATTAAACAATTAAATTCTCACGACGTTTCGACTGCAACTCAAGCAATCATCATCAGGTGTGAAAACCACAACAAGAACATTTGAAAAAAGTGGCGGTTTTTTAACGTTAGCACCACGGATAGCGATTTGATAGTTTGTTCAGATGGACGAGTCCATCTATGTTCGGAAAAGAGGAGGGGGGAGACGAAAAATAATGGATGCGGTCTGAAAGCCACCTCGGCCGTGGCAGACCACTGTTATAATTCAGTAGGTTCACATGACATTGACTTCTCCAAGACAGAGGTTCTTTGCAAACCATCTGGATACCATGAGAGATTCGTTCATGAGGCTATCCACATATACAAACACAAGAGACAATTTCAACCGAGAAGATGGATTCTGGCTTAGCAATCATTGGAAGGATTTGATAAACCATTTCGGGTCTTAATTGATTGATCACGCTTAAGGTGGCTTTCAGGCCGCATCCATTATTTTTCGTCTCCCCCCTCCTCTTTACCGAACATAGATGGACTCGTCCATCTGAACAAACTGTCAAATCGCTATCCGTGGTGCTAACGTTAAAAAACCGCCACTTTTTTCAAATTTTCTTGTTGTGGTTTTCACACCTGATGATGATTGCTTGTGTTGCAGTCGAAACGTCGTTAGAATTTTATTGTTTATATTTTTATTATTTTATTGTTTCCCTTCTACATGACTTTACCGAAAGAACTAAGAATATGTCCACATGTTGTTTGTTGAACAACTTCACAGATTCACTCTCTCGCATACAGGTGGAAACAAGATTTGTGTTGATGTTACGAACCAACAGGCTCCCATGCCTTAATTCAAGGCTAAACCTCCACTAACTACTTGTGTTAGTAGACACCATTTCAGACATACAAATACAGGTTTAATGCAAATCCCTAGTCTATACATATGTATTATGCAGTCATGCTGTGGTTCATGTATGTGGGATGACTCGTTAAAGATCAGCAGATACCACGCTTTGCACTTTTAAATCTCGGTTGAAAACTCGTTTCCTTTAAACTGCTTTTTGTGCTGGGTTGTTGTCCTTCCTCCGCACCTCCGATGAGCACGGTTGGCTACGTATGGTGCGAACGAAGTTAAACAAACATGCATCCGAGCAGAAATGTTGTGTTTCAAAGAGAAGAATCGCATTCACGACCCTATTGTTTGCAGCAGCTTTAATAAAACTGTCAAATTTTGCCAGCTTTGGTGCCCACACAATAAGAAAACTGATTAGACTTCAGTTAGACAACCTGCAGATAATATTGTGTGTTATTTTATCAGATGCAGATGACTCATTGCACTGAAGCAAGATCATGCTCAAACACCACTCACCACCCAACTTCATCTACCAATATTATTTAAGAAGAGCAATTGGCTAAAACATCAATATATTATGATTCTCTAAATAACAGTACAAATAAATCCTGTTATTTTTTTTAGGTAGGGAGACTTTTCACTTTTGACTTCGGTGTAACGTATATCTTATGCATAGTAAATCATATGGTGATTTTGCTGGGATCTCATGTATTGAAGGTATTCAATTGTGGGAATTAAAATGCACCAAGTAAAATGTGGTTATATTCAACTCCAGATAGAATGACACACCACAGTTAATCTAAAGCTAAATGTATTTCATTTTAATCTGACACCCTTTCTTTACTTTCTCCACCCCACCCACAAAGCTAAGCCTAGTCCCCAGGATTAACGTTCTTACAGAGAAATGAATCATCACGGGCAAAAAAAGACATTAACTTTTCACCCTGACAATACAAATCACACTTTTATTACATCAGGTCACAAATCGGTCCAATGATGGGGTTGAGTTGTCTAAGAACAGAATATGAGGATTATACTGTAATATTCCAACCACGCTTGGAGGTCTGATATTGATTGTGTAACATTTCAGTGATATAGTTGAATGGAAGGAGGCAATGGCGAGGTGTGGTGGATTTGATGTCATCTTGACCTTAAACATACATACAGTAAATACCAGAGTGTTTCTGGCTTTATCCTAATATTCAGATACATAATCACTTATAATTGTTAAGCACTTTGCATGCAGTGTTACAATGGGGACAGGAGTACAGTTTAAAATGTAAGTGGACAGGCTAGTCCACGTCACTTTAGTGGTGCCAATTGGTTACAGATGTAAATACCTGTACTACGTAATTGAGGGATAATACATACTGATTGTGTAGTGGGTTCCAGGAGACTTGAGACATTACTTAAAGGCAACACTTTTATTTATAACACAATAACTCAACAACCCTTACCCCGGTACAGCCTCCAGGCTAACGTGCCCCATCACTGGGACTACTCAGAGCCCTCCGGCTAAGGGGCCGTCCATAAATAACATCACGCACCTTGGGGGGGGGGGGGGGGGGCAGACATTTGTGACGATGTGTGACGAGGGGGGGGGTTTGAGAAATGTAACGTCACATCAAAATGCGCAACTTTAAATATAGACGACACGTCTATATTTGAGGGGGGGGGGGGTCTGACTTTTTGTAATGCCGTGTGACGAGGGGGGGGGGGAGTCAAAAATCGTCCAAAATCGCGTGACGTCATTTATGGACGGCCCCTGAGGGTGACCTGGGAGAGGCTGGCTGACCCGACCCAGCCAAGGTGCGGGTCCTGACCACTGGTCCGTGCTCGACCCCGGCCCTTACAAGGACGTCGGGTCCCGGGGTCCCAGAATCCGAGCCGAGCTGGTCTTCAGTCTTCGTCTTCGTAGCACTGCCTCGAGCCGACCTGAGAGCCGCCTTTTATACACATCCCGGGGACTCTCCGCCCCCGGTACCGCCCCCTTTCTGGAACCTTCCAGGGGGCCCTGGAAAGCCCCCCCCCCAACCCCTCGCCTGGGGGAGGGGAGGGGAACCCGGCATCTCTATGGTCTGGCTCTCTCTATCCCCTTGTACAGGTTGGCACCCCCTACAGACCCCTGACCGTAACTACAGGTAAGTGAGCATAGAGCGGTGTGTGCATACGCATTTCCGACGTTACAATTGTGATGTGGCCCAGCCGGAGTGCGTTAGCTGATTTTGCAGAGGTTCACGGTTCGAATCCAGTGGCAACCCTGGTTATTATTATTCACTATAAAAATAATCGTCTGCTTCACAGCATCCGGGAAGTCGTTCACAAAGGTAGCCTATGGTGCAATTTCCACCACTGGTTTAGGGTTTCAAACACACATGAGCACCAGCAAAATGTTTTTTGAGCTGAGGAAAATAGGTAATGTTTACTTTTGAATGCTTACATAGTGGCTATTATTGAAGCATACACATACGGTTTGTAAAAATTGCTTCTCCCGAGGACTCTCTGCCCTTGCATCAGATCTCATCCAGACTGGTGGATGCTGCTAATACACCAGTCCAGGACCAGCATATGCGAACAAGACCCTGTTTCATCCACCTATTGTGTAGCTCTGCCTGGTTCGACATGTAGGCTTGTCACTTGTGCAAAAGAAATCAGGTGAACATGGGCTCTCATCAGTATGGCATAAGTATACCAAGTTTTCAGTCGATACCACATTGGGAAGTGGGTTAAAATTGACTTACAAGATTTGAGGTTACGTCAACAACAACAAACAGAGTGAGTTAAAGGGTGTAATAAAAAAGGGTGTAATAAAAAATGGGAGATGCCTTTACCCAGCAGTGGGAAGTTGTACGATGCGATTTGTTACATTTGCATGGGTACTCGTGGTGGCAATCGAGTCGGTGATCTGGGGGGCATTTTCCCTGTTGCCGAACAGCATTGTCCTCCCACGTGGTCCCCATTCAGAGGCAGCTTCTCCAAATGACTCGGGAGACATTCGAGTTTATCTCAAACATGAAATCAAAGTTCATATGAAATCCTGGCTAAACAACATTAATACTAATACTCTTTGGTTCTTTCGGTAAAGTCACCGGTAAAGTAATTTCGGTTGATTTTACCGAAAGAACCAAAGAGTATGGATTACTGCAGTCACGAAAGCTTCAAATCAAGATTAATAAATGTTAAAAAGGCCATCACATCCAGTGCTGTTGATTGCACCACACCTCACCATCGCGTCCTTCTCGATGTCAGATCTCGCAGGACTTGCACAATTGACGACACCCAATCTCCAAGGTCTGCTCGTGGTCTCCCACTCATAGAGTTTTACATTGAGGGTGTGGATATCGGTGTCTCTATATTAAGCGGTGCTCACTTTGGTGCCTCCCATGTGTTGATGTGTGCTAGAATTAACACTGTGGGTGGCTGTCAAAATGTGTTAGAGGATTTCACAAAAGATTGCAAATTAACAAAGAATGACAAAAACACAAATTGGCAAATGACAAAATTTGTCATTTTTTAATGATATTCAGGATATTTTCTCTCATTTAGACAAATAAATTAAACTACAGTCACACTGTTTCCCTGACATGTATGTTTTATTTGAATTATTACGTTAATATTATGCCTTTATGTTATATTTTTTTATGCTGCGGGGTTGAGTGGTGGCACATAGAGTAGGTTATCATATTGTGCTATGAACCCGGCAACCCGAGTTCAATTCCTAGTCGTGATTAACATAATTGACGAGTGATATCTGAACCAGTCTGAGGTCTATCCCAGACCGCATTGTCAGAAACCCACATTGACCAGCATGAAGTATGGTAAAAAAATACATTTTGACATGGCATTCAGAGGTCTTATCCAGAAGTGGATTAACAAAGGCCTGTATATTTTACATTACTACTGCACTCAACGTTTTACAATTTGTATTGATTTTGGAATATTATCTTTTTGCCTGCTCCATAATTGCATTTTGCTTAACGCTCATGGAATTACCAGACATATACCAACATCTAGTTCATTTGATAGGGTCCAAAATCTATAATTAGGGTCCAACTGTAGGGCCAAATATCAATTATATATAGAAAAACATTGTTAAAGCCCCATCTCTATACATGTGCCAGGGGCACTTAACCCACAAATGGAAATGTGTAAGTTTGAATGCTGGTCCAGGGTTGACTCAGCCACTCGTCCTTCTGGGGTTGATACATTTTTTTACCATTTTCGGTAAGATGCTGGTTTTCCTCTATCAGAATATGGAATTACCACAACTAGCTTATAATCCTCAACCTTGATGAACACCCAATGCTAATTTGAGCATAAATACATTATGGCGTTTGTATTGCCATGTAATAAACTTGAGAACATGTTATCCTTCATTTTTAGCCCAAGAAAGGTTGGTACTCCAAAGTCATCAGTCACCTCCCAAAGAAACACACCCATGTGGAAATATACATGGCTCTAGCCCATTGTAAACATGGTAAGATTGGCCATGAATCGTCAGTTTAATTATGGATTTTAATTTTTTACTTTTTCCTTTCATATCCCATTGATCTATAAGGACCCTCCTACTTTCTTGTCAACAGCACAGTTGGCTATGTACGGTGCGAAATAATTATGGGTAATTGAATATTGTGAAAGCAATGGTCTATTGCTAATTGGTGGGAGGCATGTAGAGGCTTTAATTAAATGTTTTCTCTATAATTGATCGCAATGCGTTTAATGGGTTACAATATCTCTAATTGGATTACCCTCTCCAATGGCTATGCAATCAATCCTAATCAATCACACCCCTCATCGCGATTCCAATGTCCCTGTTCAATTCATGAATATCAACACATTCATCTTCTTTGGTTCTTTCGGTAAAGTCACGTAGAATGAGAATAAAATAATAAATTGATAAAATAAAATAACACAATAATATTCTCACGACGTTTCGGCCACAACACAAGCGGCCTTCATCAGGTGAAGGGACGAGACTGTCTGGAGGACAGCGCTGGAGTGAAAAAGCCACGCTCAGATCGCGACCTTTAAGCTGTGTGAGAAGAAACAAAGCGCCTTGACAAAGGAATTAGCATAGAATTAGCATTGAAATGGCTGAGTGATTAGCTTGTGACTGGTCACAGAAATGGCTATGTTAAAGTTAAAGCATACACATCCGCAGAGGCACCCCTTGACAAAGGAATTAGCATAGAATTTAGCATTGAAATAGCTAAGTTAAAGCATACACATACGCAGAGGCACCCCTTGACAAAGGAATTAGCATAGAATTTAGCATTGAAATAGCTGAGTGATTAGCTTGTAACTGGTCACAGAAATAGCGATGTTAAAGTCAGAGCATACACATTCACCGAGGCACCTAGTACAAATCAAACAGGAGAATTTAGCATTGAAATAACTGAGTGATTAGCTTGTGACTAGTCACAGAAATGGCTATGTTGAAGCCAAGGCCTACACAATCTGAGCTATTCACAGTAACTGGGTATACACTACAATATATAATGAATACTATATAGTGAACCAATAAAAAACTAAAATATAAATTACCTCAATGTTATCAATAAACTCTATATATTCTCCAATCAGCTAAGCTACCAACAATAAGTCGTTATATATCACAATGCTATATGGCGAAAAATGGGTGGATTATTACCCTCAACTTGCCTTACATGGAAACAAATACAGCATATACATTCTAATATCCGACGTTTCGGGCAATGGGAGAGGGGTGGGTGATGGGAGGCACTAATTAATTGTAGACGCTGAGCATAGGCACCTGCAATCAATGTGCTTCTTTGTGTGGTGTTACATTTGATGTTTCCTTATTTTATGTTACAATTACAATTTGTATTTCTCACGTAAAAAAAAGTTAATGAATAGTGGAAAACATTGGGACTGAAACGTAGCTCAGCTTTTAACATGGGAGTGAGTCAATAGGAAAACGACGATCGTTTAAAGAGTTTTCGCGGAACGCATCTCGGCTCGTTAAGCGAGACACGCCTGAACGTAATTAATCGATTCGTGCAAACAGGATTCGACGCGGATCGATGGATCGATACCCGCCCCTCTTTGGTTAATCGAAATGTGGGGTGTGGAGAGGACCCCCCTCGCCCGCTCGTTACATTCCCTATCGCGCATTCGCGGCGGCGGCCGACTGCGAAGCGTGCGATTGGTCCGCTCGCTCAGCCTTGACCAATCAGAGGCCGGCGATCGCCTATCCGCGCTGGGGAATACAGCGGCAATGTCGGCCCCGTTCTGCGACCGGTTGGCGGGGCGGAGTCAGGCGAGGTTGGGGTGGGGAGCGACTTGCCGATAAATTTATTTAAAAAAATAATAATGAAACTCTAACACTGCGAGCGTCGGGTCCAAAGCTCCCCCGGGAAGCGTCGCGTGTCCTTACTTAGATTCATGTGTTTTTTTTGTTTGAGGTAGACTATGAGCTGGTGGAAGCGAGCGTGTGGGTCCTCCCGCGGCCTAGTGGAGCTTTAGGCGTTGCCTGGACTCCCTGCGGGGATTAGCGACTCCTGGACCGGCAGGCGAAGTCGTAGCCGCTGCCACTCCCTACAACTTTCGTCTCCGTCTCTCTCCCCTCTTTGTCTCGTCGTCGTCCTCCCTCCCCCCGCTTTGCTCGTCATGACGGCGACTGTGTTCTTCGGGTGCGCCTTCATCGCGTTCGGACCGGCGTTCGCGCTCTTCGTGTTCACGATAGCGAGAGACCCGCTCCGAGTCATCGTCCTCATCGCAGGGTGAGCGCTGCTTGTGGGACTTGGCGACACACAAGTGTGATGGTGGTGGTGGGGGGGATACACGAGGCACATGGGCGATACGTGAGCCGCGGGGCACGGGTTAGCGAGACGTGTTGGACACGGGACACGCGTGCGAGACGCGGGGGCACTATAGCGCACATGTGCGATGTGTGAGAGACGGGACATCCGCGATACGAGGGACCCGATGTCATACACGATACATGTGGGACATGCGCATGTGCCGCGAATTTAAGTCAATCAATGTTTAAATGTAAACTACCATAAGCATTGTGAGCATTCTCGACAAACACCACCACTAACAGCAAACGTCTGGGATCAATTATAAATTACAAAAGCACATCACCCACGTGTTTCGCACGGCACCACAAAAATAATCACTCAAACTAGTCACTATAAATGTCACTAACATGAAAAAAATACCACACAACACCACCACCTCCAGTGCAACTAACACGTTTATAATTTGCGATTTTGAAATGGATTTCATTATTGCTCCCTTACCAAAACATAGTCTCCTGGGTTGTACATTGAAACGTGTGTCCGCTTGGGCTTAGCGCCCTCAGTGAGCGGAGAATTGCCTTGGGTATTTGGCAGCGGCTGCATGTTGCTATATCATGCGTAATGACACTTGTACCTTCTTGTCAATGTGTGTGATTTCTGCCCCATGCCTTACATTGCATGGGCAACGAGAAGGGGACGAAGTGAGCTGATCCAAACGCTGTGCATGTGGTACGAGTGTAAATCAGCTGTTGTCAGTGTACGGTATGTAGTTCCCCCAAGGTCTCCTGTCAATCTGACTGGATATGAACCATATTTATGATGGCAAAGTGTTTCCATGTGAGGTTCTCCATAAGACGACCACTGATGGCTGGCCACATTTTTATTATTATTTAATCAATCTCAGAGGAATTATGCGAAATGTTGATCACTGACTGGAATTTAGTCTTGTTACCTTCTGATTTCAAATCAAGCGCTTGTCAGCTTCGCTAGTCGCCTGTTTGTAGTGTATGCATACATACATTATAATTACAGTGCTACGGTGTAACTAATTCGACACATAATTCGATACGTGGTCTGCATATGTTTGGCAAATTATGCAAGTGTTGAAGACCACTTGTATTCAACAGCTGGTCGACAGTGTTGTCTGTTTCTGGATCTTTGGGAGACAGTGTGGCAACTGCTTATTGATTTGTTCCATGAATTGTGAACTGTCATTTCATAAAACATGTACAGTACTCGGCCTAGTTAAATATTAACTTGGACAAAGTAACACTGGCAAGATCCACTTATTACCGTTTACGTTTGGAAACGGTATTTATTCTTGACTTGGCTTATATCACGTGGGGTAAGAGAAATATTAGGAATGAAACAGCCCCAAAAAATAATGGAAGTGGAAAATCTGAACAGCAATGGGATGTTATAATTGCTGTTTGGAAAAATTATTCGCTCTGAAGAATGTGTTTGACAATAACAATGTTCAGCTCATGAATCTGCTGCTTGATGAAAGCCTCTCCATGCTGTTTTGATCATGGATGTTTAGCCATTGGTCAGTGTGGGTTGGTGATAGGGGTGGGGGAGAACCATTCAGAAATAATTTCCCATTTAATGGGAGTCGAACTCAGGAAACCAAGTTCATAGCCTACTCTTCCCCATTAACCAGATGTGCTATGCAAATTCCATGAATGTTGATATAAATGTGGAAGTACAGTGAGGGAAAAAAGTATTTGATCCCCTGCTGATTTTGTACGTTTGCCTACTGACGAAGAAATGATCAGTCTATAATTTTAATGGTAGGTTTATTTGAACAGTGAGAGACAGAATAACAACAACAAAATCGAGAAAAACGCATGTCAAAAATTTTATAAATTGATTTGCATTTTAATGAGGGAAATAAGTATTTGACCCCCTCTCAATCAGAAAGATTTCTGGCTCCCAGGTGTCTTTTATACAGGTAACGAGCTGAGATTAGGAGCACACTCTTAAAGGGAGTGCTCCTAATCTCAGCTTGTTACCTGTATAAGACACCTGTCCACAGAAGCAATCAATCAATCAAATTCCAAACTCTCCACCATGGCCAAGACCAAAGAGCTCTCCAAGGATGGCAGGGACAAGATTGTAGACCTACACAAGGCTGGAATGGGCTACAAGACCATTGCCAAGCAGCTTGGTGAGAAGGTGACAACAGTTGGTGCGATTATTCGCAAATGGAAGAAACACAAAAGAACTGTCAATCTCCCACGGCCTGGGGCTCCATGCAAGATCTCACCTCGTGGAGTTGCAATGATAATGAAAACGATGAGGAATCAGCCCAGAACTACACGGGAGGATCTTGTCAATGATCTCAAGGCAGCTGGGACCATAGTCACCAAGAAAACAATTTGTAACACACTATGCCTTGAAGGACTGAAATCCTGCAGCGCCCGCAAGGTCCCCCTGCTCAAGAAAGCACATATACATGCCCGTCTGAAGTTTGCCAATGAACATCTGAATGATTCAGAGGACAACTGGGTGAAAGTGTTGTGGGCCAGATGAGACCAAAATGGAGTTCTTTGGCATCAACTCAACTCGCCGTGTTTGGAGGAGGAGGAAAGCTGCCTATGACCCCAAGAACACCATCCCCACCGTCAAACATGGAGGTGGAAACATGCTTTGGGGGTGTTTTTCTGCTAAGGGGACAGGACAACTTCACCGCATCAAAGGGACAATGGACGGGGCCATGTACCATCAAATCTTAGGTGAGAACCTCCTCCCCTCAGCCAGAGCATTGAAAATGGGTCGTGGATGGGTATTCCAGCATGACAATGATCAAAAACACACGGCCAAGGTAACAAAGGAGTGGCTCAAGAAGAAGCACATTAAGGTCCTGGTGTGGCCTAGCCAGTCTCCAGACCTTAATCCCATAGAAAATCTGTGGAGGGAGCAGAAGGTTCGAGTTGCCAAACGTCAGCCTCAACCTTAATGACTTGGAGAAGATCTGCAAAGAGGAGTGGGACAAAATCCCTCCTGAAATGTGTGCAAACCTGGTGGCCAACTACAAGAAACGTCTGACCTCTGATTGCCAGCAAGGGTTTTGCCACCAAGTACTAAGTCATGTTTTGCAGAGGGGCCAAATACTTATTTCCCTCATTAAAATACAAATCAATTCATAACATTTTTGACATGCGTTTTTCTGGATTTTGTTGTTATTGTCTCTCACTGTTCAAATAAACCTACCATTAAAATTATAGACTGATCATTTCTTTGTCAGTGGGCAAACATACAAAATCAGCAGGGGATCAAATACTTTTTTCCTTCACTGTATGTAGCCGACAGAAAATACAAATTGCATTCCCAAAAAATAAAATTATCAATCCACTGTTATGCTGTTTGTGAGGTTTTTGACCAATGTTATTAACCATGCTTGTCAATGTGGGTTGGTGAAAGGGCATTTGGGTGAGGGGGGGGGGGACTCAAGATCGGTTCAGATATCCACCTTTAATGGGAGTTGAACTTCATTTGAAAAGTCAGGAACTGTTAATACACTCCAGTGGAATTCTTGTGAAGATGGCACCAATTGACACGTGCACACGCACAAATGGCACAATGGATAAAGTGACCAAACGGTAGATTTGCCCTATTTTCTCAATGAAAGGGTAAAGACAGCTGTGCAATTGCCTGCCAATGCTACTGCTGGCAGAAAGTCCTCCAATAGAGGGAGAATATTCTATCTACGCTTCCTCACTGACTGGACATCTTTGAATGAGTGGGGGTACCCACACGTTACCCCACCACATGTGACCTGACGATCGACAAACTTTGGTGCACCCATTTTTACTGCCGAGTGGACAGTCAGTGGGATGAAAGAAACTTGACCCATTGTTTCAACTGCTATCGAATCAGACTGATGACCTGCGGATTGCAAGTCCAGTGTGCTAACCAATACACCGTGGAAGCTCCCATTGTTTCTTATTTAAGAATGCAAAAGTGTTATGTTATTGCTATAGACATTTATGTATGTGCGGCAAACCGGTAACTGGTTTTCTTTACCAGAAGTGCAAAAAACATATTTTAACAATAACAGTTTATAGTGTAGTGCTATAACCACTGTGCCATTGCCCTGCTTAATAAATATATAATTTTAATTTTAATCCTTATGCTGCCTATTAAATTATGTTTTAAATATTGTATGCTAGGAACAACCATTAGATTATTATATAAAAACACTGGTAGGACAATTTACAATCATGAATTATATCACAATAATTGTGACCGCGTGTTTGTTGAACGTGGCCTGTCCACTTTGCAGGGCGTTTTTTTGGTTGGTGTCGCTCCTGATGTCCTCCCTGCTGTGGTTCATCGCTTACCAGCTCAGTGACAAGACCAACGAGGGGCTACAGCGAGGCCTGCTTATTATGGGCGTCCTTTTTTCCATCGCCATGCAGGAAACTTTCCGCTACGGGTACTTCCGTCTGCTGAAGTGAGTCACAGAAACATTATTATGATTATGCTCGTTTATGCAGGAAAGCCTTTTCAGAATGGTCCTGTCTAGTTTTCACAGTAGTAGGTGATGATTGCTATGTTTGTTGCAAATTAGTCATTCGAATTATCACAGAAATATATTTGCACCATGACGTCGTCCCACACTGGTTGACTATTACGAACAATGTCACAGAAATGTTTTTATTTTTATGGTCAAAATACACCTGCAGTACTAGTCGCGGCGGCCACTTGATTCGAATTGTGAACCTCTGCAACAAGTGGCAAACGAGCTACCACGAGGCCATGTTACCGCTCGAACTTGGTTGTGCTGTCATTAAGCATCATTTCCAAGCGTGATTGATAGTCTGCAATTGGGTGGTGTTAACCATTAGAATGTTGATAACAGTCCTTTGTTCAATGCTTGCACTGCCACCAGCATGTGGCAAGATGTCTTGACATGACAATTTACATTGTGATGTTGGAGGGGCGATTGTGATTGGCAGTATGCAAATTCCTGTAATGCCACCATATTTGTCTAAGTTCTGGGAGACTTCAAGTATGTGAGCGTGAAAGATTAAATGTGATACATTGCTTAACTGCCACCTGTTGAATTTTGTTTTGATCCTCGCTGTAAACACCTCTACCCCTGCCAACAAATGTTCCCTGGCGCCCATCAACAATTTACTTTAAAGCAACATGAAACATTAATTCAACTGTAACAGTACAATGCAAGACCGATATGATTTGTTAAATTTGTGAATACAGTATAGTGCATTAGTATCACAAGTTGCCACATAAACCCATTTGTGCAGAAAACATTATGACTAAGCGTGCTGAGTTTTTATTTTACTACCACAAGTTAATTTATCTACATTTTTGAGCAAAGCATTGGTTGCCTCTGCTTCTTGAAGACTGTTTGAATCAATAATTGTTCACATAGGTGTGTAGCATCAGGGGCCAAGTATTCACGGCATCGTATTCCTCACACTTAACCGATTGGCAACGCTAAATAGGTTTGCTGATTGCAACTGATCCTTGCGGTGTAAAGCTATGCATGGAGAACCAGCAGTCAATGTGGCTCCGTCTAGTCTGGTTGCACAATCAGAGCCTTCTGCTGTATCTTGTTTTAAGAGGAATGGCAGACATTGTGTTTTGGTTGCAAATGGTGGGAAACTATAAAGTGTACTTTCTTTAGTTAACGAGTCTTTTTTTTGTCTCACCTCATTGATTGCCCTTTTGCGATTTCTAAAGTCTTACTCAAGTTCCTTTACAGCCTTGAGCTGATGGAGGAGATTTCATGTTTCTATACTGGGGGTCGTTCACGACACAGGACAATCACTTTTACCACAATGCAAACCTAATTTTATAACTCCAGAGGTAGGATGGGCTAAGTCAACCCCCAAACTTAAAATTGTGAGTCATGCACTCTAAACACTAATCACTCTTCTGTCTGGCTATTAACTCATGAAATATATGGAAGGGAGTAATATACATAATTTTAAACAGCTGAAAATGAGGTTTGATTTTCAGTTTTGCTGCTACTACATGCTACATGTAGAGATTAGTCCAATAAAAATTGGTAGACCATATAAAATATCATAATATCCACGTGGTGTAACATAATGTGCTCACATACCGTTGCAGTAAATTGTGCTTACACAATACAAGTAGCAGACTGTAAATGCATTTAACTGGTAAGCTGAGTACTGCATGCCCTGCTTTCTCAGTGTGGAGTTGATGTGGAAATAAAAGCATTGAAGTCAAACATTAGCTTTATCTTTCCTTCCCTTTGGCAGATGGATAATATTTTACTTTGATCAATAGAGCATGTCCTGTAAGCTGTAATAATTTTCGGCATCAGTAGAAACACCCCCCCCCTCCCCGCACGTCTTAGCAAGTATGTAATCACCACAGTGGTACTCTGTAACACAGACAGAATCCTTTTAAAGTGTAAAAAGTGGCTTTTGCTTGGGAGAGTAACAAATGTAAAGCATGATTGGAGAAACACGCCGGGAAGTGGAATTACCATGGTTTATTGTGGAATTGTACAGAAAGGCATGTAGGAATGGAATATCGATAATGTGGTTGTTGCAATTAGGAGTGTTAATCAATTATCAAATATTTTAAGTACTCATTACGAAATCGCTAATTATTTCCAAAAGGATAATGGGATGCAGTTCAGTTTTATTCTGATCGAACTGAATGAAATATGAGAACAGTCAAGCCACATGGAATGTGATCTATCGCATGACTACAAACTACTGTGCTGTGCGAAAGAAGTTATACATACCTGCCAATTACATACAGCATATATACAGTCCTTTGTTAGCTGTTTGCTCTTTGAAGGTGTCACTCGCTATGCCTCGTCAGTCATGAGACTTGGTTGACCATACACCACGCTTGACATTTAGGGTTGCTAAACGTTTGTAAACCCGTACAGTAATACCTTTTATGAAATCGTGTTTTTGCATGCACTTATGTATAATGCGAAAAACTGAAATATAATCATTCCAAATGATGTCTTCCAAAATAATCATGAATGTTGTGGCACAAGGTAAAACCATTGTAAATGTCATGCTTTTCATTCAAGAATGTGAATTTAATGTTTATATTTGATTTAGCTATATGTTGATTTTTACTGGTTTTGTTAATGATGTTTTTCCTCCTTGCCGACCTAAAAGAAGCATTGCACGTCTTTTACATAATAAAAATGACCTAGTTCATTATTTATATTTATTTGTGTGGGTGGAACAGTGGTATAGTAATTGCTCATAAGCTAAAAATCAATTTTCTGGTTGACTCAGCCTATAATTATCCCTTTGGGATAAAGGGATAATTATACAATAAAAAACAGTGGGAAATCAACAACAGTTGTCCTGTGCAGAGAGTAATGTAGAATTAACACCTCTTTCTCACTGCTGCCAATGGAGAAGAGCACGACACCATTGCACTTTTAAGCAGACGCATAACGTCACTTTCTTATTTTTACGCTACATTTCATAAACGTTTCCCATAAAGTGTGTTGACATGGTATTAGAATGCAATGAACATTTCTGATTGTTTTTTTCCGCACCTCCGATTCGCATGGTTAGCTACGTACAGTGTGAAAGAAGTTCAACATACGTACAACCATTATCCAGTCTTGTGGCATGCTGTTAGCATGCCAGTAATTGTATTTCAGAGCCCTCTCGCCTTAGTATGCTGACATGTTTTGCTTGTTCAGTTACTCGCATGTATTTTTTTTTAATTTTGTTTGGAAGAGTTTTTCGCTCGTATTTTGAGGGTTGCAAATTCTAATTCTCGTTGGGGGTCAGCTGAGCCATTGAACTATCTGGACCCAATGCAGTGAGTGCCACTTTATGGGACGGTCAAACACACTGTTGAACTTTTTTCACACCGTACGTAGCTAACTGCTAATTGGAGGTGCGGGGGAACGACAGCAAACTAAATATTGTGGTGTGAAGACAATTCTAACTGATTTATGATGTTAGCTAGAGGATGTATAATTATTTAGATATGCATGTTTTATCATTTTAAAATTGTATTTTGTGTTGCAGGAAGGCTAATGAAGGGCTAGCATCTCTTGGTGAAGAGAGCATGGCCCCCATATCCATCCGACAGATGGCCTATGGTAAGTGTGGGTCAATCCCTGTATGCTTGCTTCAGAAACCAGATGTTGGTGTGTGTGCTTAAGTATAAATAATGTTTGATTTATTGCGCTAAGTGCTCTGAAATCAGTGGCTGCACTTAAGTGATGATTTCTGTAAACTATTTTTAAACTAAAAAAAATAATTATTTTACCATTTAGGTGCAGAGACCATGAAACGGCTTTATGCCCTTGGCTTGTCAATATGTAGACAGTGTGGCAATTGGAAATAAATGCTGTCTATGCATGTAATATTTTTTCTGCGGTTCTTGATTAACATGACCCAATCTCCCTTTGACTAATTACACATTAGCCTAGATAGAAACTGACAAATGAAGTAAACAGTGTAAAGCAATGGCTTATTATCCAACAGCGTTGAAACCCTGCAAATTTAACTCAATACTTATCATGTACGAGTTAACAATTTAATGTTGCAGGAAGTTATACCTGCTGTTACACACCATTTCCAAAGTATGAAACACGAAACTGCTGTTTACATAGCGCACAGCTTTGATTTGAGTCGTCCTTCACCATGGTTCACGTGCAACCTTCGAAAATGCTACCTTGTGGCAGTCAAAACCAGTGATTGCTGGTCTTTTGCAGAGGTCAGCAGTATCTTGCTTGAGTCATCCGGTTTTATGTGAAAACATATAAATTATGCATAACTAAACCTGTTTGTGAAACTTATACACTCTCTGTATAAGCTTTCATTATATGGACATTTTCCAAGTATTCGTTTTACTTGTGACTAGTTCATTGTCTTAAGCAGCAATTGATAATTGGCAAAAGATTTAAAGTAATAAAGTAATTGTGAACACTGTTTCCTTTCAGTTTCCGAATCACGCGGAAAAAATAATATCGTTTGCTGCTGCCTAGGCTAATGGAGCTTTTGTGCTTTTTGGGGTGATGTTTGTATGGATGATGCAATGTGGGATGAAACTGTTGTTATTGTTGTTCTCTGGATTTTAGCTGCTGTCAGGAGCTTGGAATATTGCTATCAGCTCGCCTCGTTCACGTTGTGTTTGGGTCACTACCATTGATCGTGTTTTGTTATTATTTCTCTTTGGTGTTGGCACCTTTTTGTATGCTCCCGTGGTTTGTGATGTACAGTGTTTTGTGATGAAATCTACATTAACGACAATGTAAAATGAAGCAGTTTGTTTCGTGTTATTTTGTTGCTGGTGGGTTAGGGAGTTGAGAACATTCCACACGTGGAGTTGCTTCCTTGACGGTGGCTTTCATAAATAGGTGGGATAGCAAGATGAGTAGAACATTTTTTTATCACTTTCATGTTATCACGCAACCAGGTTTCACATGTCTGCATGAGGTCTATGGCAGTATGACTGTTTTTAGTGCTCAACATACAATTTGAAGGTCGGTAGTGTATATACTGATTGGATATCTATTCATTAAATTTAAAAAATTAGTGTCACTTTCAAAAACCTAACAGTTGGTTGTTTAAATCGAGATGATTGGCATCCCTTTCTTGAATAAAGAGGGAAACACCTTTATGACATAACAGTGCACTAAACAAATGAATGGTTGTAGAGGATTACTTTATTGTTACAGCTCATTTGAAAGCAGGTCTTGTTCCTTCTGTACTCAGAAACATTTACCATCCAGTGCCAGTGAATGGCTTAATTCATGGGATCTAGTGTAGTCTGTGAATGCGTTATACAAGTCCTAATTTGTTCATAATTTTCAGCCACGGTCCATAGTTAACCGGCTACTGGATGAAGGACTGCCCAATGTGGCGTTATCTCTCACGATTCTGCAATACAATAATTCACCTAGCGCCTATACGCGGAATGATTTAATTACCTGACCGTCATTATTCTTAATAATTTCAATAGTGTATATAATTATTTATTTAATATGTTCAAATGCTGGTAAACACTAAGACTTTGGTGGAAATCCACAGTGGTTCTCCGATGGAGAATGGCCCCTGTCACAGACGTTGGGATTTTACTCTCCATTGTCAAGTTCACCAGCATGTGATTGTTGCCCATGCTTGGTTGAACAGCCCATTACTTGGACTCGTCTAGAATTTGGAAACCTGCCATGTTTTTAAGATTTTGGTACACAACGATGCTTCATAGTAAATTGTCACTTGTCTCTATAGAAGATTACAAAAAGACTTACGTTTCTAGCTTACTCAGGCTATGACATGACTAACACCTCCACTATACAATTGGGTTCAGCAACCTTTAAATCTGCATAAAAGTATGAATCATCATCTGATGAGTCACCGATTCAAAATACAGTTTTTTTGGTAGCAATTTAGTACAAATACCTTTTTGTGAAATAATTATAACAAAAATGTAATAGACCCATTTATAAGTACAGCTATCTTGATTTGAAGCTTTCGTGACTGCAGGAATCCATACTCTTTGGTTCTTTCGGTAAAGTCATGTAGATAGAAAATTAATAGTTCACGACATTTCGAGACAAACAGCAGGAGAACTGCTGACGCATGAGAAAGAGCTGCTGCAACACGAGGTTATTATAGGCTTTAGGTGGGCTCAACCCAAGGGTAAGTGGGTGGAGCTAGAGATGGAATTTGTACGTAATTGTAATAGATTAGCATGTCAATGTGAGACGGCTCCAGCAACCAGGGGCTGTGCCAATGAGAAGATTTGCATGTCAATGTCAGAGAACCGGACAACAAGAACAGAAAACCCGCAAGAGCAACTACGAGGAGAGACCAGCATGTGAACGAGAGAAATACATGGCGAGAGAGACAGAGAGAGAGAGACGCACAGAGGGACAACACACGAACAGAGAAATACATCCACATAGAGACACACAGACAACCACAGAGAGAGAGGCACACACAGAGACACCGAGAGACCAAACCTAGAGAGAAAGAGAGAGACGTAGAGAGGCTCACACAGAGAGACACAACACAGAGACAGAGAGAGACATACAGAGAGAGACACACAGAGAGAGACACACAGAGAGAGACACATACAGAGAGACAACAGAGAGAGAGAGACACAGACACAATCACAGAGACACAGAGAGAGACATACACCCAGAGAGACACAGAGAGAAAGACAGAGACACACAGAGACAACACAGAGAGACACAGGGAGACAAACCCCCACACAGAGAGACAGAGAGAGATACACACAGAGACAAATAAACAGAGACAAACGCAGAGGGACACATACACAGAAACATCACAGCCAGTTATAGCGTGTTAAAAAATGAGAACTCCCGCCATATCGAGGGAGAGGGGCAACGGGAACTGTGTTAGTGAGACACTTAGCCCGTTAATGTAAAGACATTTTACCTGGTGATGTACTCAGTCGGAAATAACAGCTGACATCGGCACTTACCCTTGGGTTGAGCCCACCTAAAGCCTATATGACCTCGTGTTGCAGCAGCTCTTTCTCCTGCGTCAGCAGTTCTGCTGCTGCGTTTCTCACCTGATGACGGTTGCTTGTGTTGCGATCGTAACGTCGTGATCTATTAATTTTCTATCTATGTGACTTTACCGAAAGAACCAAAGAGTAAGTACAGCTATATTTGGTTATTAAATGATTAAGGTTCAGTGTTTAAATACTCTGGGCATCTATGTATATAAAAGGCTAAGGATGTCTGCAACAATTCAGTTGGCTTCAAGTTCCTGGATCGTCTGCTTTGAACCTGGGACGGAGTTTCTGAATCGTCTACTTTAGGCTCCTAAGACGGTGAATCTGGAGAAGCTTCAGCTCCGAAGATGGTGTTTCTGGATCCTCTGCTTCGCCTCAGATGGTGTTTCAGCTCCGAAGACGATACATGATGGAGGAAATCTCGATGCATTTTTTTTTAATAGTGACATTTTAGTGAAACAGTTGATAATCGATTTTCCGGCACTATTATCCGGCTTCCAACATTATCCGGCGGTCCTGGGCCGATCTGCCCAGACCGCCAAAACTTCTCCTAAGGCTGTAACCAGTTCGTTGATCGGCACCGTGTGTGTGTGTGTGCGCGTGACCAAAAAAAGGTAGCTATGCTTGATTTCAGTGTCTTAATGTTATAGACACTACATTATACACTACATTATACACTACATTAAACTTTAACAATGAAAATACTGCACGTGTATACATTATTCGTGACGAATTACTACAGTAATGAAAACATAAAATATACGGTGCGATCCGGTGAAAAGTGCGTGTAATTTGGTGATCGTCAAACACAAGTTCTTTAAACAAGAGCGTAGCATGTACATCACCCCCTGCAGAGTCTTTCAAGATTGCAGTGGAAAGTACGATAAAGTAAATAGTTGCTTTATTTAAGTAGGATATTTATTTGTGTCAATTTGTATGTTTATTGATGCCTATTTCATTGAGAAAACATTTTAACACGAAAAAAACATCTACACAACACCTAAAAACATACTCTTTGGTTCTTTTGGTAAAGTCACGTAGGTATAAATAATTTTATTTTCTACCTACATGACTTTACCGAAAGAACCAAAGAGTATGGATCCCTGCAGTCACGAAAATTTCAAACCTAAAAACATTCTTGGTTCTTTCGGTAAAGTCACGTATAAGGGAAACAATAAAATAATAAAAATATGAAACAATAAAAATTCTCACGCCGTTTCGACAGCAACACAAGCAATCACCTGATGATGATAATCACTCTTCATTATAAAATAGCCTACTTTTTACATTCTTGCATAACATGTTTTTAGGTTTTGATTCAAAGCTTTCGTGACTGCAGGGATTCATATTTTTTTTTGTAAAGTCCGGTAGAAGGGAAACAATAAAGCAATAAAAATATAAAACAATAAAATTCTCACGACGTTTCGACTGCAACACAAGCAATCATCAGGAGAATTTTATTGTTTTATATTTTTATTGCTTTATTGTTTCCCTTCTACGTGACTTTACTGAAAAAAACCAAGAATATGATTCCCTGCAGTGACGAAAGCTTTAAATCAAAACCTAAAAATATGTTATAAGTAATGAAGAGTGATTATCCGGCCTTTT